AAACGAGTGACCTCCTCAATCTCCCAATCCTAAAAATGCCTCCTAAATTGAATATCCCAAGTTAGTGTTCCGTTATCAAGATGATAACAGTCAACCACCAAGGCTTGCCTATCAGAAGCAATCCCGTAAAGCCGTGGGAATGAAAGAGCAAGGGGAAGCTCCCCACACCAAAGGTCCTCCCAAAATCTGATCCTCCTACCATCCTTGATCCGAAAATGAACATGTTTGCAAAAAATGTCCCACCCCTTTCGAATGCAAGTCTAAACCCCCACACCCCTAGGACCACGCGCCTCAAGAGAACTCCACCCACCACTGCTCTCCCCAAATTTGCTGGCAATAACTTTCCTCCAAAGCCAATGCCTCTCAACCCCAAATCTCCAAAGCCATTTCCCAAGAAGAGCCCTATTGAAAGGAAATATCTTTCTAATCCCTAAACCTCCACTCCAAAAAGGACAACACACTTGCTCCCAACGAACCAGATGATACTTGAACTCCTCTCCTCTCCCCCCCCCCCGGCCCCCAAAAGAAAATTACGCTGCAATCTCCCAATTCTCTCAGCCACAGAAGAAGGAATCTGAAAAAATGAGATGAAATATGTGGGAAGGCAAGATAGAGTGCTCTTAATCAGAGTGACCCGCCCCCCCTTGGAGAGGTACTGTTTCTTCCAACCCGCCAGCCTCTTCTCAAATCTATCCACCACCGGATCCCAGCTCCCCACATATCTCGAAGGGGCTCCCAGAGGTAAGCCTAAGTAAGAAATGCGGAAAGATCTAGTGCGACATCCAAGGATCTGAGCAAACATCTCAATTTTAGATACATCCCCAACCGGCACTAAAACACTCTTTTTGACATTCACCTTAAGCCCAGAGACAACTTGGAACCAAACCAAAATTCATCTCAAATGTCTCAGCTGGGATGCATTAGCATCACAAAGAATTAAGGTATCATCCGCAAATATCAAGTGAGAAATCTCCAACTGACTAGCAACATCCCTGCCCATCTGAAAGCCTCTTAAAAAACCAAGCTCAATAGCCATTTTCAACAATCTGCTTAGTGCCTCCATCACAAAAAGAAAAAGAAAGGAGAAAGCGGATCCCCCTGTCTCAAGCCCCTCGAACTAGAGAAAAACCCCGTTAGAGCTCCATTCACAAGGACAGAGAAACGAGCACTAGAGATACAAAAAAGAATCCATCTCGTCCATCGCCCCCCGAACCCTATCCTCTCCATCAAGTAGAGGAGGAAACCCCAACTCATATGGTCGTATGCCTTCTCAATGTATAGCTTGCACAAAATACCTGGAACATCATTGCTCAACCTGGAGTCCACACATTCACTGGCAATAAGAACATAATCCAAAATCTGATGAACTCCCACAAAAGCATTCTGAGAGTCAGAGATGACGCCATCCAGAACCTTCCTCAAACTAGAGGCCAAAACTTTAGCTATCAACTTGTAAAAACATCCCACTAAGCTAATATGACGAAAATCCCTAACATCCAGTGCCCCTTCCTTTTTCGAAATGAAGGCAATGAAAGTGGCATTCAAACTCTCTTCAAAAAAGCCATGAGCATGGAAAGCGTGAAAAGAGCCCATCACTTCCTCTCGGACCACCTCCCAGCACTCTAAAAGGAATCTCATGGAAAACCCATGGACTTGGGGCTTTATCCCTGTTACAGCTCTTCAAAGTAGACAAAACTTCCTCTTCAGAGAAAGACACCTCTAGTAAAGAACACTCCTCACCTAAAATAGAGTCAAAATGAAGCCCTGCCAGTAATAGTCTCCACCCAACCAATTCAGTGAGCAACACTGAAAAGAAATCAGCAAAACCCTTACAAATCTCCTCCTCTTTGAAAAACACCTCCCCATCCACCCGAATCCTCCCAATATTGTTGCCCCTTCTGTGAGCATTGGTAAGTCAATAAAAAAATTTCGTGTTGTTGTCGCCTTCCTTGAGCCACAAAGCTTTTAACTTTTGCCTCCGAGAGATTTCTTCCATGACAGCAATTTCAGCAAACTCCGTCTGACACTCTACCCTCCTAAGTTTTAATGAATCCGTTAAAGTGCCCTGGCCCTCCAATCTATCAATATCTGCAATCTCAGAGAAAACCTAATTTTTCCTACACACAAGATTATTGAAAACCTCTTTGTTCCAAACTTTAAGATCATTCTTCAAAAAACGCAGCTTACCTGCGAGAGAGTGACTAGGGGTGCTTGCTACTTCATCCCCCACCTAGAGAAGAGCCCAACCTGAGAGTCCATCATAGAGACCCACCGGTTATCCTACATCATAAGAATACCACCCACAGAGCCCATGGTTGTCAAAAGCGCGCCTGGGCGCAAGGCGCCTACAGGCGCAACAGTGGCGCCTCACAATAGCCCAGGTGCAGCGACCTTCACTAGGTGCGCGCCTGGGATGGGCCTTAGAGCTTGTATGAGGCGCGCCTCATGTATTATGCAGCATATATGATCTTTGTTTGATTGTTTGTTATTTATATTATTATATATATATATATATATATATATATATATATATATATATATATATATATATATATTGCTTTGGAAACTTAAAGCTTAAAAAGTAAAAAATAAAGAATTTTGTCATCTCAAATCAAGCTAGCTGAAGAAGAAACGTGGAATGCCTACTAACCCAAGTCAAAAGTGGGAAAGTCAAAACTCAAAAGTAGGAAAGAGGAGAGAGAAAGAAAGAAAAAAAGAAAAGAAGAGAAGAAAAGTTGAAGAAACTGGCTTGCCTCCTTCCTTCCGACAGAGAAAAGAAGAGAAGAAAAGTTGAAGAATCTGGTTTTGCCTCCTTCCTTCCAACGAAACCACTTTCCAGGTTAGTAGTAATTTCATTTAAGTTTTTTTTCCCCCTCTTCTCTTCTCCTCTTCTCTCTCTCATCTGTTTTTTTTTTTTTTTTTTTTTTTTTTCCCTTCTTTATGGGTCTCTGTTTTTCTTTTTTTTTCTTCCGGCTCTATTTTTTTTTTTCCCTCCTCCTCTTCTCTCTCTCATCTTGTTTTTGTTTTTGTTTTTTTTTTTTCCTGGTTCTCCATTGTTTCTCTTTCTTGTTTTTTTTTTTTTTTTTTTTTTTTTTTTCCCCTTCTTTATGGGTCTCTGTTTTTCTTTTTTTCCGGCTCTATTTTTTTTCCCCTCCTCCTCTTCTCTTCTCATCTTCTCTCTCTTATCTGTTTTTTTTTTTTTTTTTTTTTTTTTTTTCTTTCCATTTTTTCTTCTTTCTTGGTTTTTTATTTTTTTTTTATTTCCTTCTTTGTGGGTCTCTGTTTTTTATTTCCTTCTTTGTGGGTCTCTGTTTTTTTTCCTCCTCTTCTCTTCTCTTCTCCTCTCCTCTCCTCTTCTCTCTCTCATTTGGCTTTATTTATTTATTTTTTATTTTTTTCTGGGTCTCTGTTTTTCTTCATGTAGGGCCTCTGTATATTTTTTTTCCCCCTCCTTTCTGAGTCTTCTCTCTAGCCTAAAATGCTGCTTTGCTATTGTGGACTAAATACATGCTCTGTTTGCTAGAATTTGCTACATTATTTAACTTTTGAATGTTTGTGCCTGAATGCTGATTGCTGAATTGCTTGAATGCTTGTTTGCTGAATGTTTGTTTGCTGAATTTAACTTGGTCCATTGACTCCATTCTATTTCTTATTGCAAATAGATAGGAAAAAATGTCAAAGGATCTAGGTTGGAATTACTGTCACCTGCAAAACCCACAAGATAGGAATGCAACAACATGTAATTTTTGTGAAAAAGTTATGAAATGAGGTATTTATAGGGCTAAGCAACACATTATAGGGGGATATAGAAACGTACAAGCATGTAAAAAGTGCCCTGAACATGTGAAAGAAAAGATTAGAGAATACATGAGCAAGAAGAAAGAAGAAAAGGAACACACAAATTTGTTGCCTGATTTTGATGACATGGATGATCAAGATGTGGATCATGTAACAATAATTGATGTTAATGGTAAAAGGGTGGCAAGTGGAACTGGAAGCAATAATATTCAATCAAAAAAGCAAAAACAGAAAGGTCCTATTGATTTGTACTTCACCCCTCCTTCGAAAGTAGTTATGCAAAATAGAAAAAATGACAAGGGTAAGCAAACAACAATTGATAATACTTGCAAGAAAGAACTTAGAAACCGAGCATGTCAACGGTTTGCAAGATGGATGTATAATGCTGGGATATCATTCAATGCCCTTAATTATGATAGTTTTGCACCAGTTGTTGAAGCTATTGGCCAACATGGTCCAGGAATGAAACCTCCTTCTTATCATGAGGTGAGAGTTCCCCTCCTCAAGAAAGAACTGGAGCATACAGACAATTTAATGCGGGATTATAGAGAGGAATGGGCAAGATACGGATGTACAATTATGGCAGATGGATGGGAGGATAAAAGACACAGGTGTTTGATTAATTTTCTGGTGAATTGTCCTAAAGGGACAATGTTCATTCAATCTGTTGATGCTTCCTCTTATTCAAAGACCGGTGAAAAAATGTTTGACTTGCTTAACAAGTTCGTGCAGTAAATTGGAGCATCAAATGTGATTCAAGTAGTCACTGATAGTGCCTCTTTTAATGTTGTGGCAAGTATAAATTTCAATATGTACTTGATGTGGAAATTTTAGGTTTATTACTTCTAGCCTTCTATTAATCCATATTTTCTTTCTTTACAATAGGGAGAATGTTGGAGGGAAGGCACCGACATTTGTATTGGTCACCTTGTGTTGTGCTGCACATTGTGTGGACCTGATGTTGGAGGACATTGCTAAGATCCCAAAGATAATGATGACCATAAAGAGAGCTATAATGTTAAATGGTTATATTTATAACTGTTCGAGTTTGTTGAACATGATGAGGCATTATACTGGACATAAAGAGTTGCTTAGACCTGTAACGACTTGATTTGCCACTTCATTTATCACGTTATCAAGCATCCATCATCAAAAGGATTGCTTGAGGAAGATGTCACTTCACAAGAATGGATCTCCAGTAAATGGGCAAAAGAGATAGAAGGAAAAATGTAGCACAGATTGTGTTGATGCCTACATTTTGGACAAGCATTGTGTACTCTCTCAAAGTAGCAAGTCCTCTTGTTCGTGTACTTAAGTTGGTTGATGGTGAGAGAATGCCTCCAATGGGATATATTTATGAGGCTATGGAAAGGGCTAAAGAAGCGATAGCTAAAGCTTTTGGTGAGAATGAGGAGAAGTATAAGGACATCTTTAAGACCATTGATACTAGGTGGAATATCCAACTCCATCGCCCTTTGCATGCAGCTGGGCATTTCTTGAACCCAGAATATTTTTATAGCAATCCAAATATTGAGCAAGATGAAGAGGTGATGGGTGGTTTATATCAATGCATAGAAAGATTGGTTCCAACCACTGAAGTGCAAGATAAAATTTCTTTAGAGTTGAGTAGATATATGAAAGCTGATGGTCTATTTGGCTCATCAATTGCTATTAGACAAAGACAGTCAAGGGCACCAGGTAAACAAGTCAATTAATCATTTTTTAGTATATTTGAATTTTAATTTTGTTAATTTTTTACTAATAATATGTAAATAACAGCCGATTGGTGGTCCGCATATGGTTCTACAACTCCTAATTTGCAAAAGTTTGCCATTAAAGTGCTTAGCCTCACATGTAGCGCATCTGGGTGTGAACGAAATTGGAGTGTATTTGAACATGTAAGTTTGTAGTATTAGTAATTCAATGATAAAAAATTAGATTATAAAAAGTTATACACTTATACTTATTAGTTATTAATTATTTGAATTAATGCAGCTTCATAGCAAGAAGAGGAACCGGCTAACTCAATGTCGATTGAATGATTTGGTTTTCATCAAGTATAATTGAGCACTAAAACGACGATATGACATGCGTGATAGGATCGATCCCATCCTTTTAAATGATATAGATGATAGCAATGAGTGGTTGGTTGGAGTAATGGATGAAGATGTAGATGCTGAAAATGAGTTGGTGTTTGAAAATGACTCTTTGACATGGGGTGCAGTTGCTAGAGCTACCGGGGTTGGAGAGTCCAGCCATAATTTAAGATCAAGATCAGCTCCAAGGGCAACAAAGAGGACAACACCTTCATGCTCGTCTTCACTACGAATCATAGATGATGACGAGGCAAACTCTGAGGAGACAGAAGAGGAAGAAGATGCTAAGGGTTACAAATCTTTTGATGGGGACGATGATGAGACTATGTTGTTTGGTGAAGAAGATGATATTTAGGTCCCTTAACATTGTTTGGTAACTTTGGTTTTAGGAGTCCTTGTCAAAACTCAAAACTAAAACTAATATTTTGTTGCTTGGTTTATAGATTTGGTATGCTACTAAGTTAAGTATTGACTATGATACTTTATAGATTTGGTAGGCTACTAAGTATCTTTTGAAGAATCTGTTTTGGAGTCAAATGATAGCTTTTGCTTAAGACATCAAGTATAAATTTATAATATATGGTTAACTGGCTTATGTTTTGCTGCTTTTGAATCTTTCTTATGAATAAATAGCTTTATTAGTTTAATTGTTCTATTTTACTGGTTGCTTTATTGGTTTAATTGTGATATATTTAGACTAATTTAGTGTTTTTATTATTGGATGCTCATTGTTTAATTGTGTTATTTTTGCTAAGAATTATTGTTTTAAAATTTTACTTGTGCGCCTCACATCACTCAGGCTCGCGCCTCGCGCCTAGGCTCCAAGGGACCTCTAGCGCATCGGTGCGCCTTGGGCTTTTAATAACTATGACAGAGCCAATTACATCCAAAGTAAACCACTCCAAAAATCTTCCCTCCCCCCCCCCCCCTCCCCCAACAAACTACATGTGAAAGTTTTAATATGTGATGAAAGGGAAAGAGGAGAAAGCAAATGGAGCAAAGCAAAAGTGATGGAGGCGCAGTTCTGTGTTTTCCATATATCAACCCTAAAACATAAAAGGGTATATATACAATACAAGAAAGGCCTATTTACATAACGGCCATAAACCCTATATCTAATTACAATTGGACCCCAACATAAATACATATATACATATAACTGTTCTAACACTCCCCTTCAAGTTGGAGAATATATATCATATAATCCCAGCTTGGAACAAATTGTTTTTAACCGATTATGACCAAGAGCCTTAGTAAACATAGCAGCTAATTGATCTTCAGACTTCACAAATAGAGTAGAAATGTTCCCACTCAATATTTTCTCTCGAGTGAAGTGACAATCAACTTCAATATACTTGGTTCTTTCATGAAATACCGGATTGGATGCAATATGAACTGTTGCTTGGTTATCACAGAACAATGGAATAGAAGTCTTGATTATTAACCCAAGTTCCTCAAGAAAATGTTGTATCCATGTTAACTCATTAGAGGTATGGGCCATCGCTTTATACTTTGCTTCAGCACTAGACCGTGCTACCACTGTTTGCTTTTTACTTTTCCATGTAACAAGATTTCCACCAACAAATGTGCAGTAGCCTGTAGTAGATCTCCTATCTGAGGGAGAACCAGCCCAGTCAGTATCTGTGAAACCTTCCACCCTATAGCAACCAAAAACCTAGAGCTTGCTTAAGGTATTAGATAATCCGAAGAACTGCATTCCAATGTGGCATCATAGGAGATCCCATGAACTGACTTATGACATTAACTGCATATGAGATATCCGGTCGAGTGATAGTGAAATAAATTAATTTCCCAACAAGTCGTCGATATCTGCTAAGATCATCAAATAGATCACCCTCATCTGACAAGAGTTTTGTATTTGGATCCATAGGAGGATCAACAGGACGTCCACTCAACATACCTGTTTTTTCTAATAAATCCAACACATATTTTCTTTGAGATAAACTTATACCTTCTTGGATCTAGCAACTTCAATACCCAAGAAATATCTGAGTTGACCCAAGTCTTTAGTGTGGAACTGATTTTGTAGAAACAACTTCAATTTAACAATACCTTTAGAATCATCACCTGTGATCACAATGTCATCTACATATACCACAAGGAAAATGAAACCAGCTGTAGTGTGCTGGTGAAACACCGAATGGTCTGTTTGACATCTCTTAAGACCAAATGCTAATGCTGCCGCAGAGAACTTTCCAAACCAAGCCCTTGGAGATTGCTTCAATCCATACAGGGCCTTCCTAAGGCGACAAACGGTATGCCGATACTCCCCCTGAGCAACAAACCCAGGTGGTTGCTCAATATAAACTTCTTCAACTAAGTCACCATGTAAGAAAGCATTTTTCAGATCTAGTTGAAACAACGGCCAGTTACGATTGGCAACAATGGAAATAAGGACTTGTATAGAAGAAATCTTTGCAATAGGGGAAAAAGTCTCATCATAATCAACACCATAAGTTTGGGTGTACCCCTTTGCAACAAGACGAGTTTTCAAATGCTCAATAGAACCATCGTGGAGATATTTAATAGTGTAGACCCACTTACAACCAACCGGTTTGGAACCAGGAGGTAAGGGAACAAGATCACATGTCCCATTATGATGAAGAGCATCCATTTCATCGATCATGGCTTGTCGTCAACTGGGATGAGAAAGAGCATCCTGCAAAGTTTTGGGAACAAGTATAACAGACAATTGGGATAAAAAACAAGATAAAGTGGGTGAAACATGATTATATGAGACAAAGTTAGAAATAGGATGTGTAGTAACACAATAGTGAATACCTTTGCGTAAGGCAATTGGAAGATCATCAACATTAACAGGAGCCTCAATAAAAGTAGACAATTGGGGGGCTGCTACTTGTGGTCATCTACTATACACTTGAAGTGGCGGTGACACTAGAAGTGGTAGTGGTGTGACAGACTCTAATGAAGTAGACACAATCGGTAGCGAAAGCAACGAATCAGTATTTAAAGATGAACCATGGGCAGAGAAGTAAGGAGTGTCCTCAAAAAAAGTAACATCCATACACACAAAAGCACGACGAGTGTTAGGGTCCCAACATTTATAACCTTTTTAAGTCTGAGAGTACCCAAGAAAGGCGCACTTAATGGCACGAGGAGACAATTTATCAATGCCAGGATGTAATATGTGAGCAAAGCACACACACCCAAAAACACGAGGAGTAAATGCAAATAACAGTCGACTAGGAAAAACAAAAGAATAAGGGCATTTCCAGTTAAAAACAGAAAATGGCATACAATTAATTAAATAGTAAGCAGTTAAAACAGCATCGCCCCAAAATGGCTTTGGAAGATGCATATGGATCATTAAAGTTTGAGTTATTTCAATTAAATGCCTATTTTTCCGTTCTGCTATGCCATTTTGTTGAGGAGTATAAGAGCAAGAAATTTGGTGCAAAATACCACGAGACTCACAAAATGTAGAAATAGCACCTTTGACATATTCCATAGCATTATCAGATTGTAAAATTTTTATAACACAGCCAAATTGGACCTCAATTTCCTTAAGAAATAATTGAAATATGGAAAAAAGTTCAGACTGGTCTTTCATTAAAAACAACCAAGTCATCCTTGAATAGTCGTCAATAAAGGTAACAAAATATGAAAAACCTGAATTACTCACATGACGCGCAGGACCCCAAATGTCAGTATATACCAATTCAAATAAAGAAGACCGGCGATTAGCAATATGAGGAGGAAAAGACACTCTATGGTGCTTACCCAATTGACACGAATCACAGTCTAAAGAAGACACCGACTTAAGAAAATGCAAGGCAGACTTTACGTATTTCAAGGAGGGATGACCTAACCGATAATGCCACTTGTGTACAGAAACCTGTGAATGGAGTGCCACCTCACTAGTAGACACCTCACTAGTAAACAACTGACAATCCAAGTAATAGAGGCCATTCTGTTTACGGCCGCCACCAATTATCTTCTTCGTTTTGAGGTCCTAAAAGACACAAAAAGAAGGATAAAAGGTCACAAAACAACTGAGTGCTTGAGTCAATTGACTCACAGATAATAAATTAAAAGGAAATTGTGGAACCAATTGAACAGAAGATAATGAGAGGGAAGTAGTAAGTTTAACAGTGACCTGACCAATAATGGGATGTGTTCTACCATCTGCCAAAGTAACAAAAGATGTGGAGCTAGACTTATGAAAATTAGAAAGTATAGACTCATTACCCGTTAGATGAATAAAGGCCCCAGAGTCAAGAACCCAAGGGGAGGATGAACTCTGGGCATCTGAAAAACATTTAATATGACCTGACTGGGCAAAGGTAGCAAAATCAGAAGAGTCTGACATGATGAACCGAGAAAAGAAAAAAAACTTACTGTCTCGAGAGAAACCGAAGATAAACAAGCAAAAAAAAAAAAACTTCGGCACCAAAGAAAGCAGAAAAACACAGACCCGGATCTCAAATGGGCCGGATCCAGAAAATCGGGTTGAACCAGAATCAGATCTCTGCAAACCTGGTTCTAGTAAACCAAGGTTGGGATAGCTTCACACCTATAGCCAAACATGTCTACAAATTTGGTTTATGTAAACCTGGATCAGGATAGCATATCTTGGTTTGGGATAGCTTCACACCTACAACCAAACACGTCTTTTCTTCTCCGCGATTAGTGCCGACGAGAACAAAAATCTACTACCGACAATAAATTCAAGCAACTGGGGTTCATAATAGAGAATCGTGGCTAGTACACGCAGCGGCAGTGGCAACGGCAACATAACTCCAGCTTCAGATCTGAGGACTACGGACCAGAGCTTCGGCGAAGAACAGATTCAACCTTCGGCAAAGAACAGATATGCACCTCTGCAACTGGTCGTGTGAGAACAGAAGATGGAAAAAGAAAAAAAACTAATAGGAACTCAATCTCTTGATGATCACGAAGCCAACACACAAGCACAACGATGACACCCTC